GCGGCTGTTCCCCGACGGGCGGGGAGCGGGCCCGGTGCGCTCCGCCGGCCAGAGTCGTCCGCGCGCGGCGGTCCCGGGCCACCTATCCGCACCCAGCGCTCCGGGTCTGTGAGCTGCCGTGTCGGGGTGGTTTGGGCCGCGTGGTGTGGCCGCTCCGTGTCCCGCCGGCCCTGCAGACCCCGCGGGCTGCCCGGCGGCGGGCGCGGAAAGCCACCTGCGACCACCCCCGGCCTGTGTCCCCCCGCAGCAGGGTACTCGCCCTGCGGCCTGCGTGCGCCTCCCGCTTTCCGGAGTGGCGTTTGTGGCCCCGTGGGAGGGAGCACCCGCGAGGAGCGTGCGGGTGCCCGCGGGCGGCACGGGCGGGCTGGCACCGCGCTGCGACGGCCTCGGAGGGCCCGGGCTCCGTGGAGTTGTTTGGAAGGCGCTTCCTCCAGCCAGAGTTCGGCAAGGCACCTGCAGCTTGCGTGACGTTAGTTTGCTTCCGGAAAACTTCGCAGCTGGCAGGATGCTCAGAAACCTCGCAAGGTGTTTCTCAGCCCAAACTAGGGACTGAGAAAACTTGAGATCTTAATAATCAAAGTTCGTTAAATACGTTGTCTCATCACTAAAGCAGCTTCTTTCCTAGAAAGCAGACTCTAAAGAGGTAGATCATTTAACCCAAGGGATTTTTCCCCGCTCCAGTGCCACAACGTACTTACTGGTCAGGCTCCCCTAAAGTGACCCTGCACTCGCATTATACTGCAGCTCTCGCGAAGATACGCAGGCAGGTCCGTGGGAACGGGAATGCTACCTGCCTTGACAACGTGGTCATGACAGAAGAAAAGTCCATGGAGAAGTCTCCAGGGGTGATTTGGTCCTCGGAAGTCACCCACTAGATTGGGGGAGGAGAGGGTAGGCCTGCGCTGCCCCACCGTTGGCCGCCCTCGGTGCCCACCATCATCTAACAGAGACACGGGTACACCTCACTCATCCACTGAAACCTGGGCCTTTCCAGCTTTTATGGCCCAGATGTTTTTCCAGGAGAGAAAATTAGAAGGATTTCTGTTTTAGTGAAAATTAATGCATTGTGGTATTATTTGTAGTATAAAGAAACTGGTTTTGTTTTTTTTTTTCCCCTGTCAAATCTCCAGAACTTAAAATCAGAAAACAGGTCAGTTTGATTATCAATCTTAGAAAAATCCTAGAGGCAACAGTGGTGAAGCCTGATGGAGTGTCTGTGACAAAGCTGGCCTGTGGGGTGCTGGCAGAGATGTGTGGCTGCTTGTTTTGAGGGCCTCTCTCTTTAGAAATGAGCAGAGATTAGTGTTTAATGTTCTTGATCGTTGGCGCCTGGAGGGGAAAAAATGTAGAATTTTCAAAATGAAAATGTGCAATTTTATAATATATTAAATGTATTGAAATCATAAGTAATGGTTAGAAAACCTTGGACATGCTAAGTAGAGACGGTGTGTCATAAGATAGCTTTACTTTGAAGCGAATGGTGAATTTCAGAATTTTAAAACAGAAGTCATAGCTGAAGATCTCCACTAGCGACCTGGCCGTTGATAGAGGAGGTACATTTATGAAATGTTCATATAAGGTGAAACCGTCAGTGGCTGCGTGACATTCAGATGATAAAAATTAAGTTACAAAGTTATTTCACGGATTACTAAAAGTGTACAATAATCAGAAAATGCAGGGGAAATGGGTACAAGTCTACTAAAATTAATTTTACGAGTACAAAATGAGAGTCACATGCCTGAAGAAAGAGTCACATGGAAGAGTTCTGGGGTATAATCCAAGGGGGGACTAATTGGAAGGTAGAATTGCATTCAGAGAGATGAGCAGTCACATTGTGGTGTGCCAGGGAGCCTCGCCTCCGGTCCCCAGAGCGCCTCCAGAGGAGTGAGGCAAGAACCCCACTCACCTTTTCTGAAGAACATGGGAGCCTGAGCAGCTGCGCCCACTGAAGGAGACCACCCACGGCTGGTAAGGACCATAGAGTTCCGCACGATGAGAGGAAGGTCTCTAACACTGAAGCCGGGAAGGCGGGTGTAAAAACAGTCCAAACACCAGGCAACATCCACCTGGGGCTTCATACAAAGGCGTTTTACAGAGAGTCCCAAACTCAGAGGGTTTTGTTTCAGGAAGGAAGTGAATCCCAGTGTGAAATAAGGAAAAAGAAAAAAAATCCTTTGATCAAAAATAAAGACAACCCCAAAGACTCAAAAAAGAAAAAATCTAGAAGTTCAGCAAGGTGGCCAATTATAAATATACAAAAAAGAAAAAAAAAACCCAATAGCTTTCAGATATACATTCAATCAATAATTATAAATGCTACTATTTACCAAGCTTTGCTATATGGCAAGCATTGTGGTTGGCATTGTATATGCATTAGAAAAACATGACGGAAAGTTTCCAGTCACGTCAGCAAAAGAACATTATAAATACCTAACTGTAACATTAAACCCCAGTGGAAGTTCATGGGACTTGACAAGTGGTTGAATAGTTCACCTGGAAGAATAAACATTTGAAAACAGTCAAAAAGAAGAGTAATGGGGGAGAAAGTGCTTCCAGAAAACAGAACCTACTGCCGAGGCTCCGTAATGAAAGCAACGTGGTACCGGCTGAGATGGATGGAAAGTCCTAGAAAGTAAAGACGCATAACCCTAACCCTAACCCTAACCCTAACCCCAAGCAAACAAGCTGAGGTGTAGCCGGCACGTGTGCGTGGTCTGTCCCAGCTCCTGACGGGCAGCCTTCCAGGCTGGTCAGTCCCTGTGTCACAGCAATTGGCAAGTAGCTAGAACATCACATCCTGTAAGGATTTGAATATAAAGGCAGCTTTTCAAATTAGAAAGTGATGTGGTCGGGCACCTGCTCATCAGCTGGGGAGAAGAGTACAAAAATTGGGCTCCTGCCTCGTCAGATGAAGGTTCAAGTGTTAAACAAGAAAAGTCACGAAAGTACTAAGAAAAATCTGTTGCGGGCACTTCCGTAAGATTATGGAATAGGACACCGCCACCAATCGTAAAGGGAAGTACTGATAAATTTGACTGTGCTTCAGTTAAAATTTGGGGTACCATCAACAAAGAAATAGATAAATTTTAACTGTGGCACATTCATGCAAAGGAATGTTACTCGACCATTGGAGAGAATGAGCTGCTGAGACAGATAGATGAGCCTCTACAAGTCCCACAGGAAAATAAGACACTGTGACTCCATTAATACGAAATTCAGGTGCCAGCCTGAAGGATCCACAGGGATAGAGATCAGACGTCTGGAGAACATTTCAGGCCGAGGAAATGGCACACATCCCGATTGGGGTGGAGGGCACTTAGGAGTCAACAGGTGTCTGAACTCAGTGAATTTAAGAGTTGTGCCTTTCACGGGGAGATTTTACCTCAGAAGAAAACAACAGGGGAGGCAGTAGCTGCCCCAATTTGGGGGGCAGGGGTAGAACCTCCTTGTGCATCCAAACTATAGATCAATAGAGGACAAATCACTGGGGCATCTCATGTTGCATAAAGGCTGAATCTCCTTCACAGTAAGACAGCTTTCAGAGCTGACGCGAAACAAACGTCGCAAAAGCAGAGTCGTGAACAGCAAACACAAAAGGAGAATTGCCCAATAAACGCGACAGGATGTTCCATTCCCCGATAATAAAGGAAATACAGCACTTTCTCTGTTTGATAAAAGCAGTATGTGGAGAAATAAATGCTATCACACGTTAGCTGTGTCAACCGGTAGAAACTTAGCTACCGAAGAGGACACGTACATGAATCCTTAACGTCGTGCATGTTCCCTCACCTAATGATTTCACTTCTAGAAGTTCGTTATTTCGAATGAAATAAATAATTGATGTTGGTAAAGATCTAGATGAAAGATTCACAGCAACAATGATTGGAAGATACATTAATTCATGTACAGATCCATACGGAGGTAGGAATATCTATCTCCCAGTTTCCAAAAATAGGGGATTTAGTATTATGGAAAGAAATTCACATTAGAATTTTAAGTGAAAAGGAAGACTATAAAACATCATTACAGCATGGCACAGTCTTTATGGATGAATACATTTATAGACACAGCAAAGACAGGAAGACGCCCATCAGAATGTTCCCAGCGCTTCCTTCTGAGGATGCGGGAGACGAGACAGCATTGTTCACTTTTTGCTCGTCCCAGCTTTCTCAATTCCCCCAGTAAACGTGGGTTACTTGCGTATAAAAAAGAAATCTCTAGAGGGATATGAAATTAACTAAGGAAGCTGTGGGGCGAGGAGCTGAGGGGGTCAGCCGACCGGTCCCTGAAGTGCAGGGCTGGCCGACAGGCGGGGAGAGCCACTACCAGGTTTCAGATGCAAAGACGGGAGAGGGGTAGGAGCAGGGGAGCGGCCACTGTGAACCTCCGCCGGGGCTTGGATCCTCAGCCGGGCGGAGCTGACCTTGACCGGGCGGACAGTCCGAACCTACCAAAGATGAAGGTCTTGTTTGTTTTCGTCTCTTTTGCTTTTTGAGATAGTGTTGAGGTCACCGGCCTGGGGGAAGGACCAGGGGAGGGGGCCGGGGTGTGAGCAGAGGGGAAGATGTGGCAAGGGGCGGAGAGAGGGGGGCCACGCCTGGAGGTCAGGGCGCCAGGGAAGCAGCAGACTGAGTGAGAAGTGAGAAAATAACTTCGAGCACGCTGGTGTTTTGAGGAATCTAGCTGCAAACTGCCTTAGCCTGGGTCCCGCGCGGCAGAGTGTGACACGAGTCGCGGGTGCCAGCGGCTGCCCGGGAGTGCAATCCCAGGGCGAGAGCGATGGAGTGGCGTGCTAGGGGGCCAGGGACCAGGCCCGGGGAGAGCCAACGCCGGGCCGTGTAGCCAGCTGACCGGAACCGTCCGCCTGGGAGAAGGGGGTGCGTTTACTCAAGAGTTGCCGCCCGGGTGAGAAGTCCCCACACTTGCAGGTCAGGCAAGCGGAAATCCCGAGACGGTCCCGGGAGCATCAGAGACAGTTCTGGCAGGAGACCAAAGGCACTCGGGCCTGGAGAGGAGCCCTGGCGGGGGGCACCTGAGGAGCCCGTAGCAGTGGCTGGGATGGGAGCGGCCCCCGGAGAGCCGCACGGCCGAGCCAGGCATGCGGGCAGCCGGGAGGTTCGGGGTCACCTGGCGTCCCTGCAAAGTGGTTTGTAGCAGCCCCAAGCAGCCCCACGGAGGATAAGCCACGCGATCACCCAGCCAGTGCAGGCAGTGAGGAAGAGAGTCAGGGAGGCGGTATGGGAAGACGTGAGGGTGGGATTTTGTCTTCTCCCAGGGCAGGGGACTCCTGCCCGTCTGCGGCCACGGAGGAGGAGACTGCGCGGTAGCCCGAGATGGTCCTGGGGGGCACCCTGGAGGATGGGTGGAAGCTCCTGGCTGTCCCTAACACATGGTCCTGGGGCAAGGGGCTGGGGAGGGACACACTCACAGGTCTAAAACTTTCAAAAGAGCAAATCAGGCCAACAGACCGTTCCCTCAGATATGCCCCGCGTGTCCCCCTCTGACACGCTTGCTCCATAACTGGAATTTCAAGTCACCCCCCTGCTTCCCGTGCCAGAGGGGAGCCTCTGCCCCGGCTTGTCCCCTTTCTCTTCCTACCACCCGAAGGCACTTTGCTCCCACACGCCGGACACCCCAGCCCACTGCACTTGGCCTCCTTCGGCCCCGAGGGGGGCAGCCCGTGGTGCCGGCTGCCTTTGGAGGGCAGGACTGAGGAAGGGGCCCCTGCGTGGGTCCAGGAAAGGGGTTCTGACCACTTGGGCGGGGACTCACGGGCTCCAGTTGTGTGGAGCAGAGCCTTGAACAGGGAGCCCGGGCCGCAGACTCCTCACCCGGGAGAAGGATATGCTAGGGGAGGGGGTGGGCGCCGGAGAGCATGAGCCCAGGCCAGGGGCCGTCTTGCTCAGGTCTAAGGGAGGTGCTGGAAAGCCCAGGCAGAAGAAACCTTAAGCAGGAGAAGTCTCTAAAGGGCAAGGGGGAGTGTATGTACAGATCTAGACGTGCTCTCGGTGTGGGGCAGGAGGTGAGGGTCGCACCTTATTGTAGACATGGTCGCACCTGAGAAACGGGCCAGGACAGGCTAATCACAGCAACCAGCAGCACTGGACGTTCTGGCTACGAGCCCTGCGTGTTGGAAACGGCCTTGGTGGGCTACCGAACGGGAGCCAAGCAGGGATATAAGAAGGGTTGCTGAGTAGTGCCGAGGACCCAGCCAGAGTCGAAGGCAGTGTCTTCGTTGTGGCACAAAGCCGCGTGGTCTGTTTTTTCTGGTAGCTCTCGGGAGCCGAGGTGCAAAGAACCGTATGGGTGTATGATGCAAGATTGGCGGCTGGATGAGGACCGCGGGGTACTGGCCGCAGTAGTGGATGAGAGTCGTCACAGGGTGCAGGCTGGCTGGGGCAGGAAGGGGACTTGGAGATAGGAAGGTAGAGCGGAGGCATGGGGGCTCCGGTGCAATGCATCAGCAGGCTTAGTGGAAGGGACTGGAAGAGGGTGTGGAAGACGGCTGTCACCCGCAGCCTGAGATTTCAGTGGCGGAGGTCAGGGCCAAGTGCAGGGCTCTGGCAAAGGGGCTGACTGGTCCACCCGAAAACATTCTTGTCTCGGAAGACCTAAGAACGTACCTAAAAGGTAGCACTTTAAAACACACGTGGCTGAGTGCACAAGGAAGCAAGAGAAATCCCAGAGACCAAATCCGGGAAGGAAACAAAGATTAGAATAGGCTAGACTGGACATTTAGGAGGAAAACGTTACCGGCCTCTCAACCCCAGGGAGTGGGTTTCATGCCCAGCTGGAGAGCTGGCTCGGAGGCTCCTGTGTGAGACGTTCTCAAGCATGGCACCCTTCGCAGAAGGATGGGCTAGGAAGGAATCTGCCCCTTGGGGCGCAGACGACAAAGAGTTTTCCTGTCCGCCTTGGCTCTCAGGGTGGTGGGGCGAGGCTCCCCGAGGACTTGTTGCGGGGCCTGCCCTCGGTTGGATTTGAGTGCATACGACCCTACGGGATCGAGGAACCCTCAGGCCAACAAAGTCACATGGAGAGTAGTCCAGGTAGGGGATACTCGGGGCGCCCGGCAGAAGCAAACAGCTGTAACAAGGAAAAGGCCCTCAGCCCACAGAGAAAGCCTCACTCAAAATGAGCTCTCCACCCAAAATTATAAGACCCTGAAGAAGTATTTCACCATGGGCAAGAGTCCGCAGAAGAGTAACGATCAGGGTAGTATCTTCTCCCCACCGCCCCAAGACGCTGAGATAATATAACCGAGTTTAATACATATGTGCTAGATAGGTGTAAGGAAGTTAAGGAAGAATCGAATGTGTAACAAAAGAATGAGGCACTAGGGGGGAAAAAAAAAGATGAGTTTTTCAAAAAACAAACAAAACCTCTAGACCTGAAGAATGGAGCCATTAAACTTAAACATGCGGTGAGAAAGATCAGAACATAGAAACAACAGAAAATGTTATTCGCAAATGGGAAGACAGATCTGGGGAAATTATGCACATGGGGACCAGAGAGACGGGGGTGGAGGCTAACATCCCTGGGAGAGCCGTGGATCCACTGGAACCCTGAACCCGTCTTCTCCACCCCAGGGGGCCTCAGCCCCAGATGCCGCGAGAGTTGTCTGCTAATGGCTCACAGCTGCGTCCTTCTCCAGAGAGCTGTCCTTGGTCAAAGGGGAGTCACCTCACCTGGAAATGCTTGGGAGCGTACCCCTCCCCTTCCAGGGGGCCCTCCAGGGATGTCTGACTGACAGGGGTAGGCAGGGCCAACCCCCAAGGCAGGAGGCATGCTTCTGAGCCCCCATGGGACAGGGCTGAACCAAGGCCTGAGTGTAACTGTAACTTGCTCGGCTCCTCCCTTGCCCTGTCCCGCTGACCCTCCCTCCTCCTGAGAGAAATCCCTCAAAAATAACTTGCACAAGAATCCTCACCTCCAGCTGTGCTCCTGGGGCATCTGATCTGAACAGGGTATTTCAGGAGAAGAGAACGGAGGGACCACGTAGGAGTTCTTCCTCCAGAAGCACATCTGTCTCACCGTGGGTTGGTGGGGTTTGCAGGCCTAACCTGTGGTCATTTCGCCAGTCCCCAGGCATGGATGTTATCAATTCATGGTACACATTAATATTCCTTCTGTGGCCTAGCGGGGGGCCATGGCCAGTGGTCGTAAATGTTTCATATCTGCCTGGAAAAAGTTGTGTTTGCTAATTTAAGAGTTCAGAATTCTTTCAATATGTGAACATTAGTTTCAGCTTGGGATGGATGAACTTGGCAAACACCAGAGCCCCTGCTTTTGTTCCCTCACCTGCGGGGTAATAGTTATCACAGAAGGAAAGGCCGAGAGGAAAACCTCTCAATGTGCCCCCACTGCTCTGGCCAAGATGATAAGTCAGCTGCGAGAAAATGCTGAGCAGAGAAATTGTACATGCGCAAGTAAATCCAAGCGCATGCTAAGTATGAGCTAGAGCAAACAATGGCGTCAAATGATGGATGCTTTCTGGTGTCTAATAAAAAGGCAGAGCTGGTAAGGCAGCAGGGAACGTTAGAGTTTAAGCATTTTAAGATCCTTGTATTATCTGGGAATTTAACTTTAGATTTTGTTAGGCAAAAAGTGCGTCTCACAAACTTTAAAGAAGGTACTAAAAGACTTGAAACAGAATGGACAGCTTCCACGGCAGTGAGGGGCAGAGGAGAAGAAAGGAAGGAAAGACGGGAAGAAAAACCATCAGTCTGATAGAATGTAGGGAAGAAGAATAAAACAAACATGGAAAGAGAAGATGAAACAGAAAACCCAGAACAACACTTGGGACTAACCCGAAGTAGATCAGTTATCACAATGAATATAAACAGACTAAATTTTCCAGGTAAAGGCAGATTGTCAGTTTGGGTTGGGTTTAAAAATACAATCCATCTTCCTACTGTTTTTAAATGACAGCCCTAAACATGAAAAGTTATAGTCTTCAGGGGCAAAAAAACGGTGTTCTAGGTCAATACTAATAAAAGGAAGTCCCTGCTACTATAAGATCAGTTAAAATCGACTATAAAGAAAGAATGTGTTAGAGGCAAAGGTGATCACTACATAGTGGCAAGAGGGACAATCCATCAAGGAGCTGTATCAGTTTAAACTTGATCCGGGACAGAGGTTGCATTACAGAGCAGGGAAGAGGTGCTGCTAAACAACCGATGCTTGGACAAATGGTTGACCACCCTGAAAAAAAAAATTACAGTTCCTGTAATTTACAGTCACATCAAGCACATAAATATTCCAGAAAAAAGAATCTATATGTGAAAAGTGAAACTTTAAAGTTTTTTTTGTTTTTTTTAAATGCCTGTTTGTTTGTTTGTTTGTTTGTTTGTTTTTGAGAGAGAGAGTCAGAGTGCCAGCGGCAGAGAGGAAGAGAGAGAGGGAGACATAGAATCTGAAGCGGGCTTTATTTATTTTTTATTTTTATTATTTTATTTTTAATGTTTTTATTTATTTTTGAGAGAAAGAGACAGAGTGTGAGCTGTGAAGGGGCAGAGAGAGAGGGAGACACAGAATCCGAAGAGGCTCCAGGCTCCGAGCTGTCAGCACAGAGCTCGATGTGGAGCTTGAACTCATGAACCGCGAGATCATGACCTGAGCCGAAGTCGGACGCTCAACCAACTGAGCTACCCGGACACCCCTGGCAGGACTTCTTTTAAAGCAGGATGACACAGAACACAAAAGGCATAAACACGAAGGGAAATATTAACAAATTTGGCATCATTGTTCAACGGCATTAGCCATTAGGGAAATGCACGTTAACCCACAATGACATACCACTTCACACCTGGTGATGGGATCGAGCCCTGAGTTGGGCTCCTCACTAAGCATGGAGTCTGCTTGAGATCTCCCTCTGCCCCTCCCCCACTGGTGCCTGCAATCTCTCTCTCTCTCTCTCTCTCTCTCTCTCTCTCTCTCTCTCTTTCTCTCTCTCAAAAAAGAAAATATTCTTGGGGCGCCTGGCTGGCTTAGGCCGTTAAGTTCCTGACTTCGGCTCAGGTTATGATCTCACGGTTCACGGGTTCAAGCCCCGCGTCAGGCTCTGTGCTGACAGCTCCGAGCCTGGAGCCTGCTTCGGATTCTGTGTCTCCCTCTCTCTCTGCCCCTCCCCCACTCGTGCTCGCTCGCTCTCTCTCTCTCTCTCTGTCTCTCAAAAATGAATAAAAATTAAAAGAAAAATTTTTTAAAAGAAAAGAAAATATTGTTTATTATGTGAATCTTTTCAACATTTGATGCCCAAAATATTGCCATCACTTATAACTTAGACTGATGAGCAGACCTGTCTCCTCGTAATTTAGACGTCTGTGCAGTTACTACATAGAGGGCACCCAGGGAGGTCTCTCTCGTTGAATCCTCATGACAACATTACCCCACAGGTGCTCTTAGTCACTGTACTGGCGAGGGCCAGGCAACTCGGGGACAGAAGTCGCTGCCTGAGGACACGTGTCTAGACTGGGACTTCTGTGTGGGTAGGAGAGGGGTGGGGACACAAATCTGTCCTCTGTTCACTGCTGTGGCCCCAGCCCTCAGCATACTGCCCAGCACGGGTAGGCACTCAGAGCATCGGCTGGGGGGATTATTCTAGAAACATCTATGAAGCGATGATGGTAGAGACTGGACTCGGGTCTGGCTGATTCAAAGCATTCGCTTTTTTTTTTTTTTAATCAGCACCATAAATCTGGCTATTTCTCTTCTTCAACCCTGACCCATTAGGCATTTTCTTTCTAAAATGTAGTAGAATAGGAATAATTAAATAGTCGTTCCTTTATTGAAGTGGAAAATCACTCTCTGCTCCATACACCAGAGGTAGGAATCATTTAGAAACAGTTTCCCCTTCTGCCTGATGCACAGCTTGGAGCCTGTGCTCGGGGGGCTCGTGGGGAGTCTCCAGTCCTCACCCGAGACTCCCTCCAGCCCAAGCCTCGCAGCGTGAGACCCACCGAGCACGCCTTGCAGCCGCCCTGCACTACTATAGAAACGTAACAATAGGGCATCTGATTTTTAATTTTAATTTTATTTTTTCCCTACTAAAATATTCGAGTGAGAAACATTTGGAGATTTATATTCAGGGCACAAGACCAAATGGCGTCTGAAGCATTTCTTTGTTACATATAATTAATTTTTCTTGGCTTTTTTCTCCTACATGGCAAAGCCAGATCTGTACCATTCATCCTATTTATAGGTGAATATTTCTCTTCCCCAAAGATTCTCAGCAACAGTCACGGAGATGTCAGAAGGGAGAGCTCGGGTCTGCTTCCTGTCTGCCCTGTCTTCACAACGTCAAACAGAGAAAACACCTGAACAGGCACTCTGAGTTACTGGCTTGAATTTTTTAAAACAAACAAACAAACAAACAAACAAACAAACAACAAAGCAGCCAACAACCAAAACCCCACCGGCAGCTGGCCTCCGTCTTACCGAGTGAGACGGACTGAGCTGGTTCTGTGTGACTTCGAATGGTCAAGTGAGAGCACCCTCCAGCAGCCGGAGGGGGGCGACGGGGGTGGGAGATGGGGGCTGGCACAAGGGAAGTATTGCTTCTGCCTTTTCCTTGTGTTTTTCTAGAAGAAAAACCTCTTTGCTTCATATATCCATCTACACACAAAAACCACCCCACAATTAGAATCTCAAGAACTGTAGGGAAAGAAAACTTAAGAGAGAATGTTATTTTTCCAATAAAAGATACATGTGATCTGGCCCCTGGGTGTTGGTTTTAAGTGGAGATATTGACTTCCAGCTGACTGATGAGTGCAACATCTTTCTCCTGAAATATTGATGGTAGATCACACGAAACCACAAACTATCTCCATAAAGCACATCATTTCTAATCCTAATGGTGTTTTCTTTCCTCTGGATGACTGCTACATTCATGATATGATGGCTTTATTCTATCTTGGGGAAAAACTTTTTACCATACTGCTAAATTAACTTGTCAAAAGGCTTCAAACTTCGGAAGCTTTTACAGCTCAATTCAATGCTATTATTCAAGATTGAATGGGAAGGGCCGTGGACTGTAAAAGCTTGCAAAAAATAAATTTCACAGGCTTTCACAGACTGAGTGAAATACTTACCTTTTGTCCAGGTTGTATATCTTTATTGGGGAGTCTCAGAATAGCTGCATTTTGCCTATAAATCCTCGCTCTTGCCCTAAAAGACTGTGCGTCTTGTCTGTTGCCCTTGAAGGTCCTATGCAACACATGTCCTCTTGATAACAATTCATCCCTCCAGAGCACGATGGGGACTGGAGTGCTCTCCAAAACATGGGGCAGAGGGGAAGACAAAGGCTGCCAGCTCCCGGAACGATCCTTGAATTTTTTTACTTCTTTTATTCTCAAAACAGATTCACAAGGGATTTCATAGCCAATTACTGCTCCCAAATGCAAGCCAACGGTGGCGGTCCTTTCCAAGGGCTGTGTCTGGATGGGGGCGGGGGGAGGCACATATAAGGACATGGCAGCGATCCCTGTCAGCACTCTAACTGAGACGGGGCCATTTGGAACACCAGGTGAAGCACAAATGTCCAACGTGAAATGGGGTCTCCGTGCCAGACTCCAGAATGCTCAGACCACCAGGTAGTCAGGTCAGTGCCACGAGCCGTGCGTGGATCCATTGGCCTCACGCGGTTGCGGCCCGTGACTGACATTGAGCAAGCTGCTGCTGTCTACCTGGGCATGAAGCGATTCCAGCCGTGGGATGGGAAGACACGTGGTCTGGTTCGCCTTTCCTGTTTACATAGAGCCTCTGTTTTCACCACATCGCTTCCCAAGCAGATGCCCTTAGCGGATGCCGGGATCGTTTTTGCTCTCTGAAGCACTTCGTAACGATGGGAGACTACTCTGTGGTCTTGTGGAGTGAGTTTCTAAGATGTCCTCAATCTGTAAAAATGTATTTCAATGCCAACTCCACATGCTCAAGGTACTCATAAAAAAAAAAAAAAAAAAAAAAAAAACAAAAAAAACAAAACCAGCAAAAAAACCATGGAGATGTGTGTGCCTGTACCCCGAGACGACAAGATGGTTGGAAGGCCGCGTATGTGTCCAGACACCCCGTCTTTCTCACGTGTAAAGGCAAGTTGAAACGCCTTGTCTCGATAAAGCCTTCTTGCTCCCTCGACCGGAAGAAGTCTCTTGTCGCAGCTTTTTTGGGAACGTAGCCTTCTTTTCTTTCACGCCCAACGATTCCAGTCGTGTGTGATGGTGACGTGCACGCATGCATTCCTGCTCTCAGACTAAGTGTCTGTTCTCCCCCCTCCCAACACCCCTCCCAACAGCGCACACCCGCCTTATACCTCTGGGAGCGCGGCCTGGGATCGAGTACTTTGGGAAGCCCGTCGAGGAGTCCAATGGGCACCTAAGATTGCAAACAGCTGTGCTAGGTGACCTGCGAGTCACGAAATCCCCTGGGGTTTCTGACAAGTGCCAGGCAGGCTCAGGACATAGGACGGGAACTGGTCTCCAGTGGACTGGTGTGGCTGAAACATTTGCCCCAGAGACGAGGCCCCAGACGTCTGGGCAGGGGGGGGAGAGTGCAGGGCCAGCCCAGAAGACAGGACCTGGACCCGGCTTCGCAGGGCGGCATCCCGGTGCAACAGCATCGGGTTTCCAGCCCCAGAGGAGGGGGCCGGGCCCACCCTGTTGCCGGAGCTGGGGGAGCCCCCCCCCCGGGCCCCCTCGCTTCTGATTCCCAGCCCCCTTCGTGGCCATTTCACAGGGGTTCTGGCTCCGGTGTGGATGAACCGCTTGGGCCTGGGCTCTGATCTGGCATCGTCTCGATCTCTCCGTTCTTCTCGAATGTCCAGCTAAACTGGACGTGACCCGACCGAGGAGAGGGATGGGAGCACTGCTGGTTTTTTGGACGCGGGAGCGTCACACGGAAGGTGGTCACTTGGGAAGCCTTCTTACAGATACTTGGCTGCTGCACCCAGTAAGACTCCTACGGTTCAGGCTGAGAGGTGTAAAGGGAACGGGAGGAGCAGGAGAGGGAACTTACGTTTACGAGCCTCTACCGTCTGCCGGGCTCCGTGTTTGGCGTTTCACTTACGGGACACGCGGTTCTTCCTACAACCCTCAGTCACTCGGTATTAATACCCCTCTTTTCCAGAGAGGACGACCGAATGCTCAGAGACTCCGCGCAGCTTCCCAAAGTCACACAGCCAAGAGAAGCGAGGGCCGGGGTCGGGCCTGCTCTCTGCCTACTCCCCAGGGTTTTCCCCACACACCACACTGCCTTCCCACGGCTACCCGCGGCCGGGAAACACAGCCCCTGGGGGTGTGAGGCCGCATCCGGGCCTAGGACGATCTGGACTCAAGGTGAGAGAGGAGTTTTCGATTTACCAGAGACTCTCTTAAATACTGAAGGTTTTGTGGGTTTTCTTTTTTGCCCCCAGGAGAGGTGTCCTGGTGAATTCAAAATCCAACTGGGAAATCAGGAGTGTGACTTGCTGTCTTTGTGAGAATGTTAGTTTTGGCAAAGCATGCTTGCGAACACTTACACGGGAGTCAGCAAACTTAATGGGACGCGTCGTGTGTCCCCAGTGACATCTGCTCAGGTGGCCTTCCCACGGTCAGGCCCCAAGGACACACGCAATCGTACACAGGAGGCAACGCCAACCAGGAAGCAAAAGCAATCCCTTAAAAATGCTCCCGGGAGCGCCTGGGTGGCTCAGTCGGTTAAGCGTCCGACTTCGGCTCAGGTCACCATCTCGCGGTCCATGAAGTTCGAGGTCCGTGAGTTCGAGCCCCGCGTCGGGCTCTGTGCTGACAGCTCGGAGTCTGGAGCCTGCTTAAGATTCTGTGTCTCCCTCTCTCTCTGACCCTCCCCCATTCATGCTCTGTCTCTCTCTATCTCAAAAATAAATAAACGTTAAAAAAAAAAATGCTCCCGGTGCTTCCAAGAGGATGTAGTCCTCGGGCGTGGGAGAGAGCAAAAAAGAAAGAGAAGGTTTCGCTAAAGATGGCAAGAGTTAAAATCTAAGGAGAAAATTCACCTGATATGTATCCAGGTGTTTATTAAGAGTTTTTGGTATTAGGTTATATCTAAAGCAGAATATGAGTCAAGAAAGAGGACAGGACAACACTATCAAACAGGCAAAGAGGGTCCGTACAAGTGGGTGTGGACACGTGTAGAAACAGCCCTGAGTCATTTCCTTCAGAAGACTTCTCGAGAGTGGCCTTGACCATGGTCGGCTCTGCCTTCACTGTGACTGCCCCTGGCTGTGGGGAGCCCCAGAGGGCCAGCGTCTTCCCCGCCAGGGACCTGACCCTTCAGGGGATGCTCTCTGAGGGTTCGGAATAAGCAACCCACAGAGCTCAGAGGCTCAGCAGCTGTCGCTGGTCAGCCAAGGGGCTGTGCACCTCCCAGGGCCCCGGGCTTTTCACCCACAGGACGACTGTGAGCCCACCCTTAGAGCCGCTGCTGGGACACAGGGGTCCCCCATTGGAGACTGAGCGTCCAGCACGAGCCGGCCCCAGAGATTCTCAGCTCGGGGGCTGGGGACCTGCCAGGGAGAGGGCTGCTGGACAGGGCAGAACGCTGCGGGCAGCCTGCTGGCTGGGGCCGGGGCATAGGGTCCAATCCGCTGGAAAATGACTTTTCTTTAAGTGTTTTTAAAAGAGAGAGAACGAGATCTGGAAGCATTATTTGTGAGACTAAGACCAAGAATAAGGTCTCAAGAGAGAAAACGTTTATGCCACAGAGGGAATTTTATTTTTATTTATTTTTAATTTTTTTAATGTTTATTTATTTTTGAGACAGAGACAGAGCGTGAGCGGGGGAGGGGCAGAGAGAGAGGGAGACACAGAATCCGAAACGGGATCCAGGCTCCGAGCCGTCAGCACAGAGCCCGACGCGGGGCTCGAACTCACGAACCGTGAGCTAGTGACCTGAGCTGAAGTTGGATGCTTCACTGACTGAGCCACCCAGGCGCCCCTATCGGAGGCAATTTTAGAGAAAGGAGAGAGAAGGATGGTTTTGAGAACACTAAGTGCTACATGCTCGTGAAAATGAGGATTTTCTCAGGGGCTGCACTGCACGGGGACTGTGCGAGACAGAGACGTGTCTTGTCGGAGGGTTAGCCCAAGACCTGCAGGGCGCTGCTAGGAGCAAGGAAGCTCTTGCACTCATTATAGTGACATTTTTAACAGGGAGAGAAGCTGCCGTCAGCCAGTCAGCCGTGTCCCAGCAGCGGCTCACGCAGCACGGCCGACTTCCAAGCTGGAGAAAAAGGGCCTTGGGGACAAAGTGGGGCAAAGGTCGCAGCTCAGTGCTGCCTGGCTGTCTGTCCTCTGAGTAGCCGGCGTCCAGAGAAAAGACACGGTGTTCTCTGGGCGTTTGCTCCGAGGCCTCCGGGTGATCGCCAGAGGTTTGGGAAGAGGCGCGCAGAAGAGCATTGTGGGAGCATCTCTGGACAAGGCCGGAGAAACCCCTACCAGCCTCGGCAGGAGTCACAGTTTGCTGAGAAGTCTGGGTGTGGAGGGTTCTCGTCCCCAGACGCCCCCAGGCCTGGGCACCCGGCATCTGAGGACACTCGCTGCTTTTCTGTTCAGCTGCCCCCAGGCACCAGGAGGCTTGTGCTGTCCCCGTGTGGGGTCTGGCTTCCTGTGCTCCCCATCTAGGAGCTTCCGAGCCCGCCCTGTCCGGGATGCCCCA